AATTAAACAATATTCATACACGTTCCCACACTAGAAACCATATTATACACGAGTAAAGGGCCGCCAATTATACACAAGAACATGGAGAAAATATCTATCCAATAAAATTATCGTCATTTGTTTTCCATATTTATGTTTATCTTCTAAAAAGGTAATTCAAAAACATGTTTACCAACAGTTGGTAATCGTAACGACAGTTCCCTGATCGCCGTATCTGCCAGATAGAGTCTAATCTATTCGTTATTATTGAACAGGGAGTTGAGTTACCGATTGCATCGTAATTTTCCAACGACTAGGTATTTGCCGCTGACAAATAAATACGCACTGATATTAAATAAATACGAGATAAGGTTTCTGATATTGAACATTTAAAGTGACAAAACTTGAGCTAATGAATAGATATAATTATCTTAAGTACCTACGTAGGTAATACTGTATTATTATTGTCTAGCAGTCACCCCGACTTCGTCTGCGAAATAAAATTACCACAGAAAGAGCTTTTTCTCAATTCACTCACTTTATTTATCTCTAGAAATATCTTCACACTATCTTCCTTGGGTAAAGAGATATTTTATAAATACAAAATTAGTTTACTCACTGGATTTGGGGGAGCATTGTCTGTCTGTCACGGTATTGTTTTGTTATTAGAGAAGATTAGAAAACACGGATCAATAAACCATTCCCTTCCTGTTTATTCGCGCAGTTCTTATCCGATAAAAATATCTACTTACTTATATTGTAGGTTAATTATAATTGAAGATTATAAAATTTAATACATTTCATCCGGCTGTATAACAGCGATTGCTTGTTTGTTTCTATTTATTTCAAATGTGGCGATCGTGACGGTGTATCCAGTGTGGTTGCTATCTGTTCCGAACGTGACGGCTTCATTATACGGTTGTAAGAGTATTTTCCGAGAAAACTCCGCGTTTCCTGCCTCGGAATGGGTTCGTGCCGCGATTCCGATCGGCGCGTGCGCGCTGGGAGCCGCTCTCGGTTGCAAATTACTCGCCGATCTCGATTGGGCGCTAGGGATTCGTGTGACCTCTCGATGTCTTCGGCTCTTTAGGGCTACTTGCATCCAGCGTATAACGGTACTGCGGGAGCATCAAATCATGGACCCTACATTTTGTTTAGGTTAAAATTCGGTCAATAAGGATTGTTTCGGGTCAGAGTTGAAGTGATCGCGTTTAGTCAATCTCAGTAGGTACCGTGAGACAACAGACGCTTTGACTTTTGAGACGTTTGTAAATGGTGCATGTTAATGCCGATCGGAAGTAAACTGTATGTTTAGTTCTAAATACCAGGGAATGGTAAGTTTAAGCAATCAGCGCAACTAGCACGGGTAGAATTGTAATTCGTATTTCCTGAATATGTATTCGACACCAAATGAGTATTTATGTGGGTAACCAGCCCTAATTCGAGTCTAGTCGTGCACGGATCGGTATAATCAGGAGAACACGTGTCTCCAAGGGCCGGCTTTCCTTCCGCGTCTATTCTTGGCGTTAGCCCTGCGGGTCACACAGGCGCATGCAAATCACGTACACAATGAGGGAATTAGCATGCCGGCCCGGTTGAGCCGAATAAAAATTTCTACGCGTGCGTAGTCATAAAGCAAACCGGCCTAATAATACTTGGTAATCACGAGACCAAAACAAACCGTTTTTGTTTTGACGGAACCCAAACAGAAATTCACAACATTGCATGTACCCATCAAAAGGCACGAAAGAGTGGAATCATCTGAAGAAATGTTTGAACAGATGCGTGAAATGGGGTCAGTGGTGTGAGCTATGGCTCCTATACATAAATTGGGCGCGAGTAAACATATCGTGTGACGTAACGTAACGCTGAGCGAAGGCGGACTCTTACGAAATAAAACGACTGTATCTCCAATCTAAAATAATTTACAAACTGCACGTTGGATTGAGATATACCAATATAATAAATCCCGCATCGAGTAAAATGGTGTGCCCAAGGTAGACCGGTTTTGAATACTGGTCACATGACTCGTTCTTGATGCTTTACACGTTAAAGACGCGGAGATAATACAGGTAGGAGCTGGTTTGTTGAATTAAGGATTTTAAAAGAGACATAAACATAGTTACGTGATTAATTAGAAAAGGCGCAATACAGATAATGACTTAATGTTACTAAAGTTCCAAGTAATAAGCGCTGTTGCATAACTGGTGATAACTGTTGTGGCACGAAAGATCGTAATTATTACGGGATCGCGCTAAGTAATGAAAACATTATGATATGTTGTTGACTTTGATCCACAAGAGCGTGGAATAGTGTGCCAATTGGCGTTTAAAATATTTGTATAATGGTATTTACGAATAAAATAGGAAATACACCAAAAATAAGCTTTAATTAAATTCGACTGTTAATTACCAAAATATTTTTAAGTACAGATAGGCAAGGACAAAGCTGTCGATAACCCGTGATAAGGAAAACGAAAATAATGTATAAATAGGATTTGATAATTTCGATCTATATCGATACTTATCAGTTATCACATCATCAGTCCATGATCGATGAGGAATTTTATAGCAGCGACTGATAACATTAGAAAAGCGTTAGGATAAAACCATAACACTGATCTAGGTCCAAGCTTGGTGACTGATATACATCTATAGTAGTGGAGTTGAGACGTAGGTAATTTGGCAAACGTAGTTAGAAATGTTAGAATGTCCTCGAACAGGGTAGAGTGACCGCTGGCAACACCGGTCACTCTACCTTGTTGCGTGGGAGATTTTTTGTGTAAGGAAATGCATGAAATGGCATACGCACCAGCTACTGGGCTAGCCAATGTGAGAATATGCCCGCTAGAAGGGCAAGTAGGTAGGACTTTCATTCAAACCATCAAAACGTGACTGTCTCACTCATCTGGTCTCATGATGAGAGAGGTGCTAAAGGCAGTAAGTATCTTAGACCTAGTGTTCCCCTACCTTAGACCTAGCTTTTCTTATTCTTATTAAATATTCTAGTTTGCTGATCAAGGTGCATATAAATCACAATCTACAAACGAACCGTTATGTAGTGCATCTTTAGCTTTAGGCTGGCACGAACGTGTTGTTGTTTGAGATAAAAATACTATGATTCGTTAGTTTGAGGGCCGGATCGGGGTCAATCGCAGGCCATTTGCGGGGCTAATTATAGACCGTGATGCCCAATGGCGTTCCGAGAGGAACCTCATTGCGATCACAACTCCATCTGATGGTGAAGTGAAACCAGAGGTGCATGCACTCTCCGCATGCGGATGTCGTGTATTATCATATAAATGTCACCCTGACTTAGCATTTCCAAGACTTTCTATGCACGGGCTACGTTGTAAATCTATGAAAAATCTTTTTACAGTCATGTATTGAGACATTGACAATGCTAATAGAGAAATAATAATATCACTGCGTTAAATATGCTCTGGGGCAAAGCGGGACGTGTTTCCTGGCCATTAAAAAGAGGAAGTCGTTAGATTCAACAGAGCCCGATCTAAATAACGGTGTTATGCAGCATGCTATTACTATTATAAGCACGTATAATTTCTCTGGAGATTACGATTTTACGCAACCTCATGTAGAACTGTGTGTAAATAGACCGGGATTGGCTCAGCGGCGTTGCATGGTGGTTTTCTGTGAAATCAACATTCGCAGTTACGCGATTACGTCAGATGCGTTAACCGAAACCAACCACTACCATAGATACATTACAAATATTTCGAAATGAGCCTTGGCTTGCTATATTTGGACGGACCAATTACATATTCGTATATTTCGCTAAAATGATATCTATAAATATGCACAGTGTGCCGAATACTGCTGATATAATTTAATGATATCAGTTTTATGACGGCTTATGATATTAAGTTCATATCTGAGCAACTGATCCGCGTGACCGATATTTGTCTGCTAGGTTAGAATCTAATCAGGGCAACGTTATCACTGATTGTCCGGTTATCAGAGAGCAGAGTAGAGAGAGTTGCAAGCCGCGTGCTTGGTGCATATTCCTCGAACTCGCATTGAGTCCACGCGGAACCGCGCGGCCGACTGACACGGCACTGGATGCCTCCACAATGATGGGAGACCTACATAGGCTAATGGTTTTCTTAGACGCTTACTGGACCTTGAAAGTTTTTATTGCAAAGTTTCACTCGCAAATCGATGCTACCATGTATGGTGTAGTTGATCAAACAGCAAAAAAATTCCGGCTATTGGGTTATGTTTACATCGAAAGCTTGTGGCGTTCCGTCGATTCAAATTGGCTTGCTTCTAATTACATTTATTACATGCGATTTCCTCTATTGCCCGCGGCTGTAATTATGATAATAGGGACGGCGGTTGTATACAAAGGAGAGCCTAGTAAACACGTCACGTATACCATGACGTTAGAACGCTTGAGACAAAGTCGCGAATTGAATACTATGGTCATGGGGAACGCGGCAACAGCTCTTTGAGGCGAGCTGTATCGGAATGCTTGTCAGTTGACATACTGTGGAAAATATGCAGCTATGTCGTTCGCGCATGTATACTCTATGAGATAAAGTCGATTCGTGCTTTTAGTCCCGTTTCTTAGTAGCAGTATTTTATAACAGATTAAATAAACTGAATGTAGAGTCGGTCTTTGTTTGTCGGCAGAAATACAATTATTAATCAATCATTTTTAGTATAAATAGTAAAATGTTGATTGTGACTCTATTGCTATTGTTTGTTTTTTTAAATGACGATGTTTGGTTTTTTATTCATTTAATTATTATTTTCCTTTCTTTTTATTAGTGTTAAAATCCGATGTTTGGTATTAAATCCTCCAATTATTTCATTTATCTTTACATTGTTAATGTTAAAACTCTTTTTGATAATCATCATCTCAGCCATAGGACGTCCACTGCTGAACATAGGCCTCCCCCAATGCTTTCCATGTTGCCCTGTTGGTAGCGGCCTGCGTCCAGTAAACTATTTTTATTTAGCCTAATTGTTATTATTGAATGTAAAGTTATATTTACTCACCATAGCTTGCTCGATCTTGTTGTCGATGGCCACCGCGCTGGTGCCCGATGCGCTGTAACAAACGATTCCCACATTAGACAGAACATTACGAATTCAGTTAATCACGGCTACACCGATCCTCGGTTCAGTGAGCAGCGATTTCTCAAAACAAAAATAGTACCGTTTGATTGGACAAATCGAGTTTTCACTTATAGAAAAAATTCGTCGCGGTGACAATAGAAAGTGGTGAAATTGAACTAGATATTACCAGGTGGTAAGAAACCATTTAAATACTAGCTCGTTTCATTGTACACTTAAAGAGCTCAAGAACTGTAAAATATGTATCGCATCGCATCTAACAAACAAAATGGTAATAAAGCGCAGTCAATAATTACAATTTTAATTACCGTTATGAAAAAAAAATCCAATTAATCCGTCAATCCATTTACGCTTAAATCGCCCGTCAAAATGGTAAAAGTTAAATAAAAGTGTGCATAATCGAATAAGTACCACTTCCCAATCGGATTGTTTCCGCGCGTTGCAATTCGTTTGCCTTCGCATTGACGTAAACAAAACTGCTCTTTATCGGTTAACTGAACGTTGGAATGCGTTCGTAAATAATTGTATCAGTCGTTGAAAAGAAAACTTAACAAAACAATATTAATCTGCAATTGACACATTAAAAGGTCGTTGGGTTGCACGAACCGGTACCTGGGCCATTTGGTTAATAATGTACTCTTGTTGCGGTATTTAATCTCAATTCAATATAGGTATTTGTTTACAATCGTTATCCGAATTCGGATTCAGATGTTGCGCTGCGCCATCTTCTCTTTTCAATTTATTATTATTGTTCCACGGCTACGATTGCTTCAATGTGACCTGATAATTTTGAACACTTGCGGTCGTTCTAGACACAATACAAAATGGATTGTGTCGCGTGCGGATCTTCATCAGCGCATACAAAAGATAATAGAGGTAATCGACGTATAAAAATATTGCATTTGTAATTCAAAGGACGTGGTGAAACAACTAGAACAATATCAGGTTAATTGTACTAGATGAAAACACTACAATGACTGCAGCCATATAATTATTTGTATTAATGAATAGTTTGGGGTCGGTAATTCTAAAAGGCTTCCGGGGCGGTGCGGATGATTACGTTAAAGTGCCTTGTTGTGGCTTAATATTGCAAAAGCGTTTACCAGTTTCAGGTCAGCTATTAGTAATAACAGGAGAAGAACAATGGCTCGGAACAAGCGACCCAGCCAAAATAGAAACACTGGGTTAGTGCTGGGAAGCCTGAAGGACCAAATAATGATATTATGTTGGGAGCCTATGTCAACCATCCGTTTTGATGAGAGCATATTATAATTTATGAATAGCTAAAGATTAATGAATTCAAAACTCATCAACAAAAGGTCAAAAGTCAAAACAATTTGACAGTTACGAAAAATTTCGATAATCCTTGAAGAGTTATGCGTAGTTGAAACCAGTTTTCATGATTTTAAAACTATATCATTTAAGTGATTGCGTCAGTTTTGATTGATCTCATACTATCTTCATAAAAAATCAAGTTGGAACTGCTATTTGTCACCACCCTTCAATAACTTTGTTTGGCAATATCTCACCTCGGATGCCATTGTTACCTATCATGATTGCGACAGCTGATCGTAGCTGTCAATGTTGATAAGACGCTATCGGGCGTTAGTAAGTGCCAAAATTATTGTAGGTCTAGGTCCACTCTCAATGTAGATATCTTAAGTGTAATGTCAAAATGGTTTTAAGCATCAAAGTATTGGATTAATGTATATATTCTAACACGTCCATAAAATATACGTTGCACTTCGCGCATCGCGTTCATCGCTTGTGACCATAAAAGGATGTATGAATAATCGTGTCATGCCAATTGATGTTTGGGAAATTATTAGTAATTGATGTTAATAAGATCTCATTAAATCTGCATAGTCCCTACTAACGTTTAAAGTGTGTATTTTCGTACCGTGCTTTATCATTGGATCAATATCCTGCGCGAGGTCAACGGACGCCATTATACCGAAATTTCGGCCATAGCCGAAGTACTTGTCTTTTTGTCCAAGTGCATTATGATGAGCGGTGCATGCGGCAACGATCGCAGCGACTTTCTCCGGAGCCGTCCGCGGGGTGAACACACGCTGATGGATGCGCCAGAGCATCGCAAATGAGGATCGATTTGCACCGGTTTACCGGTCTTGTGTTCGAGTGTGTTTTACAGTTCGTTATTTGCTCATCTTCGAAAAACAATAATGGGATAAGACGGATTAGCTAGCGCCTACCTAATCCTAAAAGTTTGCTCATTATAATGTTACGGAACCATTTTACGAAATGGAGACAGTGACCAATGTCATTGAAATATGATGCATTCAAAAACCAGCTCCTTAAGGCAACAATAATGTAAAGATAAAAAGTAACTTTCTCTAAGCGGAACTGGACAAAACAGCTCGGATATTCTGTTCACGGTTACGCAAGTTTGGATGTTGACAAAATTGCACGCGGTACATGAAAAAGTTGAAACATAAGAAGGCGAAACTTGACAACCGGAGAAAGTATCTGTGGAGGCGAAGACATTTCGCGGTTAGGTCTACGAGTAAACGACGATAATTAAAATATCAACATAAACAGAGGCTTTTTGGAAATCGGTATCTAGATGATATATGACTTTCACAAAACTCGTGTGAAAGAAGATTCTTTGCCAAATATATCCCACACGTGAGGGCTTTGTGTCAGTCAACATTCGACGGCTCTGGCAACGAAGCGATATTTGACACGCAAGTTTTAAAGCAATCGACTAAAATAGAAGGCGTTTTCCGAAAATGAAGTTAACAAAGGGTTGAACATACTCATTTTGAAATCAGATGTGGAAACTCTTGAAAGTGACATTAGAAAAGACATGATTCATAAACAAAAAGACTGTACAACTAGCTACATAACTGTCGTGTCCAAATAAAAAGGTACAAAGAAAGATGTCAAGCAAATAGAACTAAGACAAATAAGAGCTACAAAACAAACAAAGACAAGATAAGCATTTTTTCAAGACGCACGTGCGTGTTTGCGTAAATCGTTGCCTTTTAAATAGAGGATCTGTAGAACAAAGACGATACACTTTCAACATTTCAACCACTACTCTTTGGAGCTTTTTATCAGTAAGTACAGCATTGTATTCGATGCATGGTTTTTTTGTTCCCGACCCCTTTAGTACTTATGGCAAAAAACACCATCTGCCGAATATGCTGGTGCGCAAGTTGCACTGGGGAATTACCAAACCGGTTTTTGTGGTAAAATTGAGAAGAAAGGTTGGGCGTTGTGATTGGGGCTGAGATTAAAATCGCCGGACAACAGTGCGCATTGCCATAATTTATATTACAATATAGCCGTAACATTATATTTTGAATCTTGACAATACGCTGACAAAAAGTCGTATGTGATTTTACCCACGTATCATGTTCAGTAGTAGGTAAAACAATTAATGCACATTAACGCAATGCGATAACAATTTCGATTACACTGCACAACAAAATTGCAACTTTTGACTGATGATTGACTTTCATTACATGATGTTTACTAATTTGACGTCGCTGATTCTGAATCTGCCGTCCATTTTTTCGTAGCAGCTCTTGTTTACGTGTTATAGCTTTCACTCAAAAATTGCTAAATTTCAGTCTTAAATCGCCGACAGTTCAAAAAATACTATGTTTTCTTTGTATAATTTAATATGGTAGCATTAAAAAGTGTTTGTGTGAATGATCTAAATCAATTTTGTTTAATTTGCGGAGAGAATATGTTTAAAAATAATCCGTTTAAATGTGACAAAGTTCGTAAAATTGGCATAAAAAAAATAGTTTGGGGACCCAGTGGAAATTAAAGATAAGCCTTGAATTCCGCAAAAGGCGTGGAAAAGATGCGTTGAGTTTTTACGTTTATAAACAAATAAGAATATGTTTAGATTTAGGTACGAAACCGCTATGATCTGAAAGGAACCCTTGAACCATCGCGACGACTGTTATTTTTATTTTTGAACAAAAATAAAAATATTGAACTAAATGGTAATTCCTTGCATACGTTTGGCATGTAGACGTCTTTTCAACCCTAAGAAGTCACCTGAACCTCATGTTGATACTTCACATGAGGATTTTGAGGCGAAAACTGTCATTGTGGTAGAGACTTTGAATGTGACGCGAAATTTTCAAAACCATGTAGCCAAGACGGTTTAAACGATCGTTTTAGAGATTTAGGATCTTCAAGTCTTCCGAAAAGATATGGAATGAGTTATTTTGGCATTTTAATTTTTTTTTTGGAAAATCCGAAAAAATCTTACTATTCTTACACATCGAACAACGTATGAGTCACTTACAAACATGTTTTTTTGGTTGGATGTAATATAAACATCGAATTACACTCTCTTCGCAATCACCTGAACAATTTATCACAACTCTTAAGGATCTAAGTGAAGAACATGGCGAGCAAATCTACCAGGGCCTTCGTACGATAGAGGGATGCTATCAGGGCCACTGGAATGCACACATGATGGCTGACTGCTGTTGAATCATTCAGAAGAGCTGTCTGCCTTCAGCATCAGCAAGGAAGTTAAATAAAAGAAAGTTTTTTCAACTTAACAACTTCATAAAATAGGATCATTTCTAAAAAAAGAGTGTTTTTTTACAAAAAGACCCAAGTGTCATATTTTTTTAACCAGAGCTGATACAGATATTTCAATCACAGATTTGAAATCGTCATTAAAAATTGGACTAATATCATGTAACATAACCCAATCATCAGAAATGCTGTTGTGCAGTGTTATCTTTACAAAGAGCTTTGTGAATCACGTAGGTACCAATTGCGTGGTAATTGTAATACAATGCTTGTAGACTACAAAGGTCGCGGAGAAATTGAACGACGCATGAAAATTTAAAGCGTTAGTCATGGGCCTGAAATGGTGCACTTTAAATGGCGTTTTATTGCAGATCAAGTTTTAAGCGGTGGAACATTCTACACGCTACTGGGCGTTGCATCATAGATTGTCAAGCGAGCCGAGACTAT